CCTCCCCCGTGACACGCGTCGTCACTGTCGTCAGTCCGTCGGAAGCTCTCGAATGATGCCGTCGTCCGATGTTTCTATGAGGTTTAATTCGCTTTCGACGCAAGACAATTCTGAATAAATAGATTAGTTTTTTTTTAAATCAAATACTTTATTTATGCGAGTACTATTTATTGTTGGCAAGAAAAAATTTTGTGGCTCTTTAAAAACTTTGAAATTTTGTAAATTGTAATTTTTGGCTCTTCCGACTCAAAAGGTTGCCGACCCCTGCCCTAGCCTATTCACCTCATTCTGGTTTGGATGCCATTTGGATGATCATAGTTCTGACATCCTCCCGCTCCTTTAAAAGATTTTTAATAGCAGATTACGGCATTGGTCGTCTTTCGTCTTCTTGTTTTTCAAAAGAAATCACATCTCGCTGAATTTCTTGCTGTTCTTCATTTAAGAGTTCTTGGAGTTCTGTCGTCACATTAGTTTTAGGTTTCATTATGAGCTATTCAATCCTCTTTATTTCTCAGATGTGATTTTTCATTATTCCTTTAGTTTCTTGAGACATCTTGATATATCTTTCATAGCTAACATTGTGCCTACTGTAGACCTGTTCAAGTCATACTGTCTAGCAGCGTGAGACATCTCGTGTTCACTCTCTACCTTGACTATTATTTTTCGCTTTGTTTCTACAGTGAGCATAGTTCTTGACACTCCCCCACTCATTTTAGGGTTCATAATATTATGAATTTCTCTTTTAAATATAAAAATCAGAAAAGCACTTATTAAAATTCAGAGAACAGAAATCAACTAGAGCGCATAAAATTATTTAAATTCAAGGTCCAGATGAAATTCGAAATTTGGAATTAAAAACGTTAAGGAATATTTGAGGGGACTGTTAAACTCCCGCCTTTCGTAAATAAAAACTGACGCAAAACTTTAACGCCGGACCGTCAAAGACTATAAAAAAATTAACGAAACGCTGGAATTGCAAAGGAGTGTTTCAAAATTCAAAGGAATTCTATCCGATCGGTACCGGGTTCAGAGTCGATGTCGATGTCTTCAGCGGTCCGAAAGGTTTCGAATTGTCACCTGGAGATAAGGGAAGACCAATCGGTATTTAGTATTTTATGTCGCTTCTTTTTCTATTTGTTCTCTGAATTGTTCGTTGTCCGAACATAAAAGTCTTTGGCGAGTGTTCGTTATCCGATTCGTTCGCAGTTTGAACTGTTCATTAACCGATCATCCACTGTACTATGCAGACATTAATTAGATAAACACAGATTACAATAAATTAATAAACACTGCAATTTCTAATCATAATTCGTTATAAAGTAGCAGTTTACTACAACAAACTAATAGAGATGTTGCGGCGGAAATTTTCATTGCTAAAACGTTAACATTGAGCGCCGCTATTTTGAAATCCTAGAAGTTTGACAATGGCGTTTGGAAAGTGGCGAGTAGAAATTAGACGTAAACGTTTGCTTTTTCTGTGTTTTGGGTTAAATTTATGACGTATTGTATTATAAAGAATATTTATTCAAGCATTTGTGAATAACACTGTAAAAACAGACGAATTTAATGCAGAAATTATTTAATTATTCACTTTTTTTGCAAGTGATATAAAATGACTATAGATTATTTATGTATTTGTGTTTATTACAGATAATACTGTAGAAGTAAGTTTGTTCTTTAACAGCATTTTCTGTCATCAACAACATAACACGTTTGTAAATGTTTAAAAATAATTTTCCAAGCTGCTTTCGGATTTATATAAGCCACAACTTTCCTCTGGGATTTCACTACGCTAAATTACTTTAGAAATAACATAGATCTCTAGTAAAACCAGCGTACTTCATTAGTATTATTTTTATCAATACACAAGATAGAAAGTAAAGATTTTTGTTTTTTATTTTGTTAATTTCTGCAAAAGACTAAATAATTTGTACAAAATTTTTAAAACAATAATTAATTTCAATGCTATTTTGTAAATGTAGCTTATATATAAAATCACAGAATACGGATTTGTAACTTATGTGTGTAATGACTTTAATATTACTTTTCCGACTGTAATATATAACAGAGGGAAAATATGACCATCGATCAGAAAATGACTCCCCAAGACATTTACATTTCTAAACTTAGAACAACTTAGAACATTTTGAAACGCTGAAAAATGGGAAAGGAAAAAAATGGGAATCGAGGCTATTAAATTTTACTGCTTAAAAATCGAGAGGGTGGGAGATAATGGAGGTCGTGTGTATCTCCAGTAGGGTCGGACTTAATGATGATTTTACTCCTTATTCGCATTTAGCTTTTTTAATATAAAACGCATCTCTACTTTTAAAATTCAGTTTTTTACCTTTCTATAATAGTTAAAAGTATCATATTTTATTTAAAAAAACGTTTTATTAAAGACAGCAAATTTTAAAACGTTGTCGGGAAAGTCGAGCAACTCATTACTGGTTTATATATTATAAATGATTAGTTGTTATAAATGGTATATATATTATAAATGGTTGTTATGTATTATTTGCATATTGTTTAGCCTGTCAAGAAAGAATACTTTACTCCAAACGAAAATTTTAACAACAATGAATTGAACGTTAAAAGTAAGTAACATGTTTACTTAATTCAAACTTTTTATATTAGCATTATTAAGAGGGCAGCTGAAGAACTGCATTCAAGTTTCAACCGTCATACATTGATTTGGGATTATATTTGATATTTGAGAATTATAAGTAACTACCTGCGTCGTATTAATATAAATTTGAATTTAATAAAATTATGTTGGGATGATTAGAATTACTAAATAACAACTCATGGGTTGTTATTTAATGATTCATATTACCTTGTTTTGTGTATGGATCCGCTAGAATAATAAAGAAAATATATTGAAACGAAGTAAAAGCGAAAGCGTTATAAATATAATATCAAAACAAAGAAATACGTTCCTTCCAGTAAAAAATGCAATTCATGGTAAGATTAAAAGGATATACTTCAGAGATATGTTTGTATTTAATTCTAAACACCAATTTACATGTGATTTATGTACAGAGACTTTTACAAATAAGAGAATATTAGAAACACGTCTGTCATATTAGAAGAAAAAAGCATTTCGCTGCTCAACCTGCAATAATAAGTTTTTGTTGCAATTTATATTGAGAAAACACATGATAGAACATAAATCTGAAAATTAAAACGAAATCTTTTTTAGGAATTTACGTTTGCAGCCATGTAGAAATCAAGTGAAGTCATCTCTAAGAAATGGTAAAAAATCTAATTTCCAGAAGAATAACGACATTTGTGATATGCTTGTTCGATATGGTAAGGGAAGTTTAGAAAGACACAAAAGAATACACAGAGCTCATGCCTGCGATATATGTGAAAAAGAATTTAAATTGAACTCTCTGTTTTTGCAACGTGAACGAACGCATAATGAAGACCGTTGTTTCAAATGCGATATTTGCAATAAGAGTTATAAATGGAAACAAAATTTTAAAAAATTAACGCGAAACTCATACTGATGAATGTAACTATGTTTTTCAGGTATGTAACAGAAGTTTTAAACCAAGTTCTAGTTTCAAACAGCATATTCGTATATTTAGTAATAAATGCAAATATTATTGTCATATGTGTAACAAATATTTTAAAACAAAACACTATTTAACAAAGTATAAAGTAATTCATAGCGATAGAAAAAAAGTATGTTTGTCACATATGTAAAAAACATACTTTTTTTTAAAAAACAAAACGTTACGCTAATACAAGTTTCTTAGCCAGATACTGTATTATTAAACATGAAAATATCTATTTATGCCATATTTGTAGGAAGCCATTCAAGACAAACCACGCTAAAAGGACATTCGAATATTCACATTGAAAGGTGTGTGATATTCTGCCCCCGTTTTTTGTATTGTTTAAATTAGTATCGTTCTCCTCCTAACCTTAGTAATTGTACAGAAAAAAGGGATAGTCTACAATCAGCGATCGAAACTCTCTTTTCGGGTTAAATGTCGCAGTATATACCGATAAATTCGATCAACGATAAAATCAACAAGGCAAGAACGGACGTTTAACAGAAATAATAAGCGGCGTTTCTCACCCTTTTTTAGCTGCACATAGCACGTGTCTGCGGACACCTGCACAATAACCAAAACAAAATGATAATAATTGCCTCGCTCGTCGACTAATACGATATTTAATATACGCTAAACAATCTAGAGATTATTGTCAAATCTGAGAAGATATTGTCAAACTATCCAATAATTAATGAAAATGAACTGTCAAATTCGTAGGAATTTATATCATAAAATTTCACTTTTAGTAGACCAATGTCAACAATTCGACCAAAGAATACATCGGCGACGTGTCTAAACATATTTATAATAATTTGTGTCACACATTGCACCAATACACAGTGACCCATAGCTAGATTTCAGCTTCTAATCAATAATAAATGATGTAATAAAACATGTAATTAAATAGATTTATGTTAATTAATTAATGAAAATATACTCAGTTCTATTTTATAATTCAAGTTTTTTCTTTCAACTTTTATCACACATCGCATAAATACTTAGTGACCCATAGCTAGATTTCAGCTTCTAATCAGTAATAAATGATGTAATAAAACATGTAATTAAATAGATTTATGTTAATTAATTAATGAAAATATACTCAGTTTTATTTTATAATTCAAGTTTTATCTTTNAAATAGATTTATGTTAATTAATTCATGAAAATATACTCAGTTCTATTTTATAATTCAAGTTTTATCTTTCAATTTTTAACACGAAAACTTTGAAAATTCCACTACAGATATTAAGAAAGAAGAAGTAAAAGAGAATTATGATAAAAAACATGGTATAAAATCAGAATGTAAAGTTGTTTTGAAAAAATTGAAATTTGAAGTAAAGAGGGAAGATTGTAAAGAAGTTGTTTATCTTTCAGATGATGATGAAAAGGTATTAGTAAGTAATACAAATTTCAAAATATTTTACACATTTTTAATGAAATTTTTTCTTTCAATTTTTAACACGAAAACTTTGAAAATTCCACTACAGATATCAAGAAAAAAGAAGTAAAAGAGAATTGTGATATAAAACATGGTATTAAATCAGAATGTAAAGTTGTTTTGAAAAAGTTAAAATTTGAAGTAAAGAGGGAAGATTGTAAAGAAGTTGTTCATCTCCTAGATGATAATGAAAAAGTATTATTAGTAAGTAATACAAATTTCAAAATATTTTACACATTTTTAGTGATATTTTAATATGTACTTAGATTCGTGAGTAGTTGAAAACGTAGATGAATAACAGTAATATAAAATTATGCTTAAAATTTAGGTGTTTTCTGTATTAAATATAATAATATGTATTATATAAAAAAAATCTAACAACGAGATGCGTAACTTTTCCGATTCTTAAAAAATTGTATTTAAAGAATAACTTTTATATTATGAATCAATAGAAATAAATATTACAGATGTAACGAAATTTTAAGATTTTGTTATATAAAAACGCTCTATACTTTTATTATTATACAATGACATAATGCTTAATTTTGAAGGTAGAGATAAGTTTTATAAGCAAGTGCAGACGCTAACAACAAACAAAATCTTGATTAAGTCCGATCCCCACTCGACATATTACACGTGATGTTTCTTTTCAAAAATTTAGCATCAATGCTCCCAATACAGAAGTTATCCTACCAAATTTCGTTTCTTAATGTTCAATCCATTCTGAGATATTAATTCTACATAATATTTTGAATGTATCTACTTTTGTATCTATAAATTTATATTTCATACATGTGTAGTTGGTGTTTAATGTATTATATTTTTAAAATCAATGATATTTAAGCTGTATGAGGTTAAAATGTATTTGGGACTTTTAAGTCCCGTGATGCCTAAGCAGTAGTAGAACTCGACTCGAGATATGCATTTTCGATCAAGTCCTCTGGAGATTCACGATGATCGAGAGATTGATTATCACAAAATAAGAAACCTGAAGTTATCTCTCATCGAAAAATCTGGAAACGAGTTGCGTAACATTTCCGGCAAAAAACTTCAAAATTGCGTGTGGCACCATTTGATAGGAAATTTTATTCAAAAACCATTTCATATTTGTTGAGTTCTTAGCCACTGTTAAGTTCTTAAGGGAGAATGCCCTTTAGAACGTAGTATTTTTATGTAGCAAAGAAACGGTTGTATCTGTCGGACAGAACACCGGTCACGTCCTACTCATCTGGCTGACCCGAACTAAAAGACAACAACCCCGAATGTTGCACTCACACGTAAACATCACTTTATGGGTTCCAGATTGAACCCCGGTCGTTAGGTGTTCACATGTGGTAAACACCTGATCCAACACGTGGTAAACACCTGACCCAACACCTCCCCTTTTAAGAAAGAGGGAAAAAAAAACAACTGTCCGAATTGGCGGTTTATGCCGCGTAATAGTTTTTTCGATAAGGGATTATCTGAAGCCGTCCCATCGGAACTCGAGTACGGGCTGACCGACGTGGAGGCTGTGGTGTTGATCTCTCGGGCGGTGTTTCTTCGACGGTGCATGGTCTCTCGAACGGCGGGGACTCATCGTCCTGCTGGGCTGGTCTTTCAACCGGATGTGTTGAGTCTGGAGTCGGAGCGGGACGTAGAGGGATGGAGAAGGCTTCTGCGATGACGGCGAGGGGGTCATCCTCGGGCTGAGGTCGAGAAGATTGTCTCCGTAATAGCTGATTGGAGTGAAATCGCCGAGTTGATCCGTCGGCCATNCATAATGCTTAACTTTGAAGGTTGTTTAGCGTCTACACTTGTTTATAAGTTTTATAAACAAGTGTAAACACTAACAAGAAAGAAAATCTTGATTAAGAGCAATTACACGTGATTATCCTCTATCTCTTCATCCTTGACGTTTTTTTGCCAAAATTTAGCATTAGTGCTCCATATACAGAAGTTATCCTACTAAATTTCGTTTTTTAATCTTCAATCTATTCTGAGATATTGATTCTACATAATATTTTGAATGTATCTACTTTTGTATCTATAAATTTATATTTCATATATGTGTAGTTGGAGTTTAGTGTATTGTATTTGTAAAATCAATGATAATTAAGCTGTATGAGGTTAAAATGTATTCGGGACTTTTAAGTCCTGTCATGCCTAAGCAGTAGTAGAACTCGACTCGAGATCTGCATTTTCGATCAAGTCCTCTGGAGATTCACGATGATCGAGAGATTGATTATCACAAAATAAGAAACCCGAAGTTATTTCTCGTGGAAAAAATCCAGCAACGAGTTGCGTAACATTTCCGGCAAAAAACTTCAAAATTGCGTGTGGCACCATTTGATAGGAAATTTTATTTCCAAACCATCTCATATTATTAGTTGTTATAAAATGGCAAAAAATTTAATTATCAGATTAAAGATAAATTGTATTTTTAAAAATTTTAATATGTAATAATAAGTAAAATATGTATATTTTTAAACATTTGTTTGGGTTGAGGAAGTCTTAAAACGGAGATTTCCAATAGCTGACTGTCAAAATTGACAGGATTTTTATACTTTCAGTTGTTACACGCATTACATGACACGAAAGTAAGAGAAGGGCAAAAAAGAAAAGACAATCAACGAGAAGATATTTATTGTGACATCCTCACAATGCCGGGCTGCAATTTTTCATTATATTAATCTTTTATTTAATTTAAAATATTCTTTTCACCAGAAATTATTTGTGGCTTCCCTTGTACTGTACGTTATACTTTCCCTGTTTATAAGAGTTGTGACGTTTACGTATCTAACTTCTTTTAGAGGAAACTTTCTGAATTGTAATAACTTCACTTTTGATTTGCATTCGAAGTTATTGTATACAAGAATTTCCGACGTAGTCCCTCTAAGCATATGTGGTTTCGGCTTTTAGCAATCTAACTCTGTTGACGAGATTTAGAAAAAACTGTCAAATAGTCGTACAGACTAAGGAAAGTGGGTATTTATAAGTCTTTTGAAATTGCACCCCGTTAAACTATAATTTACATATTTATATAGTATCAGATTGATTTAATTAGGCAAGAGGTACCGATAAACTGTATACAGTAGAGCCTCGATTATCCGACTCAATTGGGGACTGTGGTTGGTCAGATAATTGAAAAGTCGGATAACCGAAAAGTATGAAAAAATCCATTATTAGTTAGTATATTATTATATCTATTGTAATTATTATATTAGTATATCGCTATTAAATTAACCTACTTCACGTTGAATTTTGATCGATATATTTTTAAGCTTAACAAAAATTTTTAAAATCATAATCGTCGCTATTATATTGTTAAAAATTAGAAAATTAAGCCTCGTTTAAATACTGGCTCCCTTTTATGGTNTTTGGAAATGAAAATTTTTTTCTGAAAGGTGTTAAATAGATGATAGGGACTACTATAAAAATAAAAGTAGAAATTAGGCTATATTTTTTAAAAAATGTTTAGTAAGCGTATTTTTATGCTCTATTTTAAATAATTATACATGTGTTTTTCTATAAAGATGAATCTGTCTAATAATATTACGTAATATTTTATTATTTCAGATAAATATTAAAAAAGAACCAATTTCTACTAACAACACAAACGAATCCACTATTTGGAGTCATTCTGGTTATAAAATCGAAAGAGGTGAGAGGCTTAATGCTTTTAATACTATGAAAGTTTTTTGTAGTGATAAGAATAATTCGTAATACATAAATTTATATTCATATAAATGGGAATGATAACATTTGAAAAACGTTGCGAATACGTCGTGTATAATGCATAAGGAATTAAATAGAATTCAGTATTATCAATTATGTACATTTAATTTAGTTGAGAGATTTAAAATTGTTAATTCAGTTGATCAGAATCTTACAACAGAAAAAAGTCCAATTTATATGATTTAGATTTCAATGAAACGAGCAATTATTTATTATGACATCGTCACAATCTCGGGCTGCGATTAATCATATTTTTAATGTATGTAATTTAAAATATACGCTTTTTATCTCAAATTAGTAGTGGCTTGTTTCTGTGCATTATACTTTTCATATAACAATGCAGTTGTGCCGGTCTTTAGTTAACTGTTTTTAGGAGAAAAGATTTTAAATGAAATAATATGAGTTTCGATCTTCTTCAAACGTTTGTACACAGTTAATCAGGGTTTCCTGTTCCTACTCTCTCCATATTACCTAGTCGTGTCTTTTATCTTCGTCCGTTCTCGAGATTAAGAAAGAACTGACACACAGACAGACGACAGTGAGAATTGATAGGTCTTTAAATTTTTTAATGATTACAGTTCAATTATATGAATAAATTCGAACATTTTTAAAATAAATGTCGAAGAAGTCTGTTTGTATTTATTTTATTGTTTTTATGAATATATATCTATGATATTCTGAAAATAGTGGATTCTCCATTAATGGGTGCTCAGACTAGGATGTATTTTTACTTCTCACAGGTTCTAAGTTTCTAAAGTACTAATTTTATGTATCTATAAATAAAACTCACCTGTACTTTCAAAATTCAGCTTTTTATTGCATATACATTTATGTATTATATTTGAAACGAAGTGTGAGGGAGTGACGCGGATACGTAACACACTGTACAGTGCATGTACGTACATACATCTAAATATTCAGACAAAATTATCAACTTCGACAAATAGAATTACAAAATTTTATTTGTCGACGTATTTTATATTGTTGTGCTAATGGATGGTCAGAACGTCTAAAATGGGAAAACATTGAAATATTGAACTTTAATTAACATAAATTTATTGTAATGTGTTACAACTATGAGAATAAATTGTAAAATGATTGTAAGTTTCTAATTGAAAATCTTTATATCCGTGATTATTTAACTCTTTTAAGTTTTACTTTGTCGGCTCTTATATATAACAGAAGGGAAGTCTGTCAGAAAATAATCGTTACGAACATTTTTAAACTTAAGACAACTTAAAACGACGAGAAATTAAAAAATTTCGAGTATTTTCTGTATGAATACAGCGATGTGTGTGGAGGGGGACGGTGATTTTATTTAATTTTTTTTTTAAAGTTTAATGATTACTGTGCTTGTTGTCGAAAATTTCTTAAATTTAGAAGGCAGGTTTGTTTATTAATGGGATTGATGCTTTAAGTTTTTGTAATTAAAGGTCGAGGGGCTTATAGAGATAATGCGGGTCGTGAGTATCTTCAGTAAGGTCAGATATAATGACGAGTTTATTCATTTTCTAATATACAGTTTTTAATAAAACACATCTTTATCCTTAAAATTAAGTATTTTTAATTTTATAATCGTTAAAAATATAAAAATATTTTAAACAAAATACCATAAGAGATGGCACCACCCGTAGTATTAAATGTTTCCGGAAAAGTTAAGCACTCGTTGCTGGTCTATTTAATAACGAAAACAAGTTTTTAATCGTATTTATTATAATTTGTATCTCACATCACAGCAATTTGCCGTGACTCAAAGCCACTTTTCGGATTGTAATCAGAAATAAATGATGTAGTGAAAGATGTAAGTTAATATTGTTGTGTTAATTAATTAAAATATGTTCAGTTTTATTTTATTTTTTAAATTTTTCTTAGAATTCTTTAACACAAAAGTTTGTAAATTCCACTACAGATATTAAGAAAGAAGAAATAAAAGAGAATTGTGATGTAAAACATGGTATAAAAACAGAATGTAAAGTTGTTTTGAAAAAATTGAAGATTGAAGTAAAGACTGAAGATTGTAAAGAAGTTGTT